TTTAAACAATATTTTATTTATAAACATTTCATTAACATGATAATTGAAAAATAATAAATTGTATGGATTGATTAGGAAACTTGATAAGTTTTTTTTTTAAACTCTCGTCATCAAGTTACTTATGTTTGATCTACATTATCAAATATAAAAATTTGCCCGTGGATTAGTGACCAATGACCATTAGGTCATAACTCGAATTGTTAATGTTTATTTTTTTTTAAATTTCTTGACATAAAGAATATATAATCAAGTTTAAATAATGCCCAATAAAATTTACAGCAATGGGAGAAGTTATGATAATAAAACATGTCATATTTACTTAATACTAATAGCACAATTTCGTATTATGTACAAACAAGTTTAAATAATAATGTTGTATACTGCAATACGGAAAATGTGACTAAAATGAAAATTATATATGTTTTGCATGAATACTCTCAAGAAATTTGTTTATATATAAGTAATTAGGAACAAAATGTTATGACATCAGTGAGAAACACATTTTACTAATAAGTTATCTTTTGATGAATGTATCATGACAATGTGAATAAATTAACTTAGAAAGGGTATCTCCTATTTCACCAGCTTAAATTTGTTTGCAAGCTGTTATTTATTTCATTGAACGTACTCACACTTCCAAATAAATTGGGCGTTAGATTTGATACAATTTACAATTAAGATAAAGAGATGATAACGAGTGTTGGTCTATTTAGCGACAGCCGAGCGATAATCAGATATATTGATCAATATATATCTGACAACATTTTGCAACAAAAACAATAAGTCAATAGATATAATGTGGTTACACTATCAAAGATGGATTTAAATGTGTTTGAATTACACACGATTATCAGCACACAATTACAGTTTAAATCATTTGATCAATTTGCTTCCTTTTAAGTGTTGATAATATTGGTAAAACGAAACTTTATGTTAAACAAGTATAACTTTTAAATGTTCTAGCATATCATTTTTAATGTTAAACAAACATAACGTACATTGTCGTTTTAGATTGTGACTTAGTTACGATTTTTTTCCAAAACAGTCATATCACGATCTACATCTTCTATTGATTGTAACATTATGTTTAACAAACTACATAACCATAAATATATCTTGACTATTTGTCTAGTGAATTATATCATTTAAATATGTTATTATACCTAAAGCCATTTAAGAGTCATCGTTTTGATTTGTTAATTTTAGAAAAAACAAATGTTAAAATTATACTTACAAACTGCCACTGAAAATAAACAAAGAATGATAAGAATAATATTATTATTATCGAATTACATTACAAAAGGGTTTAATTCAAAACTCGTTTTCCCATTGGGAAGTTATTGTTTAAACAACGTTTTAAAATTTTCCCAATTTGGGTACCGTAAAATTTTGTAAAGTAAAAAAATTTAAATTTGGGCCCATCTAACAGTGTATAAATATTACATAAATTATGTATATGAACACAATATACGTATAATAAACAACAGATATGCAATATAATATATATACGATTAATACTGTTAGACAAGATACTTATGATTTGCATCGAAAGAATTCTACTCAAGGTTATTTTATTCAATATGACTGCTTAACTTTGTAAAGCATGTTTAAAGCAGAACAGTGAAGAGACATATCTTCATATCAAATACTTTTTAACTATTTTTCCAACTGTTTTATTTGCTTTAAGACTTTCAGTAGTTCAACATATCATATTCGGGAAAATATAATAGGTATTCTTTAACACGATTCTATTGAAATCGTGTTTTGTTTATTTAAATGCTCAATCAGCATGAGCATCATCTTGATATACTACATCGTTATAACTGTAGCTACACGTTGTTAACAACACTACTTACTGTTGTGATTATTTGTAAAAATAGTTTATTAATGCTGCGACTATTAAAGTCAGTGCTTGCTAGCATAAGAGAGGTCGTACAAATAAAGAGAGTATAGATAAAAAGGGGTAAATGAAATGCATTACCGCATAAAATCATGTGAGCACGCCTGTTATTTTACATCTTTACTAGATAGTTAAAGGGATGGTCCCGGTAATTTCATTATCAAATTAAAACTTTCAAATAACATTCCATTTGTACAGAAAAAAATGTAATCCAGTTTTTGTATACGAGAAAGGAAACAAATAAAAATATGCTTTATATAATTTTTCTGATCTGCATGCAAGAATAGCGCTAATCACTCAGCACTCAGTCAAATTCTAATTACGACTTCAACATTTTTGTATTGAATTCTAAAATTTTGTTAAGTGGTAATGTCTTACAAAGAATAATGATTTATGAATAACAATACATTTATTACCTTAAAAGTTTGATATAGAAATGTGGAAAGATAAGCATATAACAGAAACATGGAAACAGAAATAGAGGAGACAACTATTAAATGCTTGATAGCCTACTATTGGATGATAGGTAATAGCGAACTGATTTTTTGTTAAGATAGATAGCTATCACGTGATCTTAACGATAGCTTAATCATATCATATCAATTTATGAGTTTCATATGTTATGTAAAATTATTAAAATCTTGTTACTGCATGACGAAATCTTGCTTAGAATATCTATTACTGTAACAGTGTTGTGTTGTATTTCTTAACGTGTATAACAAGGTCTTATTACACGGTTAGTACACGGTAATAAAAAGAATGCGTACACTCAAATGACGCCATGTATGACATCAATAAACGAAATAATGTCAGGAAAATAACAACTAATCTTATTTCTCTAATTGTAGTTTAACATATTTCATCATTTCTCATTCTAATAAGTATGTTAGATTGAAAAACGATAGTCATTATATGTGCATTTTAGTAAAATAATGCATGATTTATCTTCAAATGCTTTGCTCTTTTTTTATTAGATCTATCGGGTATTGAGATTATATTCATATGCTTTTGAACTGGATATTTATTTCTTAAAACTTGCAAGTGACACATTCATGGAAACTCTGAGATACGGTCAATGGACATGGCAAGCTTGTATTGAAAAGTGGTCAAACCTTAAAAGGGTGGCTTAAAAAGACCTGATTGTGTCTTTAAGCCTTTTGACATACATATTGTTAGAAACGGGTAATTATATGCTACCTGCTGAACATACTAAACATTTTTATTCTCTTTATTTGCTGATTAAAAATTAAAATCACATTTAGTGAATTCCTTCCAAATTACATAGAGCATAACCTCTTTTACAGTAACAAACTTTGACCAATGAGTATTTGCATTATGATTTGATTGAGGACATAGTGTAATAAAAATTGTTGGAGATCTGTCAGAAACAAATAAATGTTATACGTATATGAAGAATAAATTCCATCTATATGACTGTCACTGCATAAAAATAAATATACCTACAAAACGTTTCAATTATCCCTTTGTAAAATTTAAATGGATGTTTAATCTTCGATTAATTTGTAAGACGGATTAAGCCGTAAAACGGAACTTTAAAGTGAACGTAAATGTGTGGTAAAATGGCAGAATTAACAAACATGTGTTGTGTTGTTACATAATGTATTACTTACTCAAACATAAGTGAAATCCGCTTAGGTAAAACTAAACTCCCTTGTAAAGCTTTTACATGGTAATAATGGAAATGTACATTTCATCAAAATTGATATACATGAATTAGAACTGATATAAATCATCCTTGGCACATGGACCAGCCCATGTGCATTTCCATCATATTTGCAGATTGTTAAAAAATATATATAAATAAAGTATAATATTTCGCTCTAGACTTTTTGCGTCATTCATTTTACTTATAAAAATATATATGATCAATTAAACGATGACAGAATACCCAATCTGCACTTTTTTTACCTTTATCGAATAAGATAACTTTGAATCCCTAAAACAGAAAGTGACATGTCGGTGTGTATGTGGAATTGATTATCACATAATTCTTTCATTGTCAATTTGGTATAGATTGACATTAGTTTTTCATTAATAATTGACAATGTAAAAAGATGCTTCCAGTAAAACACGATCAATTTAACTAGACTCGCAATGCAATACCAAATATAACAGGGCAAAGTTATTTAAAACAAATATCTCAAAACAGATGTCACCGTCTTAAGACATATATGCATGTCTAGTAAAAAAATACATTTCTTTTTGAATTTCCGGTCACAAGTGGTTGAAACAAAAAAAAACTCAAAAAATATAGTAAGCATGTTTCTTTCCAGCCAACCAATAGTCAGAATTGTATATTAATCACTGTATCTAATATAATATTGTAACAACAACCCAAAGTCAATTAATACAATATTGTAACAAAATCAAACAGGTATTTATAAATTTCATGTCGTTCATGACGTAGTTATTCAGGTAAAATGACATGTATAAAATAATTTCAGAATTGTCGGTGAAGCACATAACATCTGCAAAAGATACAGTTATAATATGTTGTTACATGTCATGTGTTGGTAGCTTTTAAACACTGTTATACATTATGTGTCTGTTCCAGCACATTATTGTTAGGTACACATAATGTACAAACAAAAGTTAAAGAAAGCTACATAGTTTGATCTTTTTATATAACAGTACACTCAAATTAAGAATGGTATATGCCCTTGATTGGAAGTTTAACTTTAATGTGCTCTAGCATATCATTGTTATGTTAAACATTACTTAAAATATAGTTTTAGATTGCGACTAAGTTTGAGACACTCATTGTACGATCGATAATATGAACTTTTATATTTAGTGCTTTCTTTTAAAAGAATCGTATCTTTTATCTTCAAATACAGCAACATATTTTTTATCTGAATATTGCATAACTTAATGCTTTATGTCGGTAATTATATATGTATTTTAAAGACATCACAATGGTGAATTCTTTAAAAAAAGCTTCAATCAATCATTATACATAGTGTTAAACAAAACACAATACCATAAAATATTGATCATATGAAAATATGTCATTTAAATATGTACTTTTACACAAAGCCATTTTAAAGCCATCATTGTTATAGTCAATTTATATAAGCATAATAAATTTTGACATTAAACATTATACATACCCACAATTAATGAAAATAAACAAAATAAAGAATGAAAAGAATAATATCGAATACGTTCATGATTTAACGTCAAACACATTGATTATTGCATTAACGGAGTGCATTGTATAAACAACGTTTTAATATTTAATATGGTACCGTCAATGTGGTAAAAAGTAAAAGTAATTCATTTAGCGCATCATAACATGTATATGTAATTGAACACCATGGTAATAAACCCCTTATGTACAATAAACATCAAGCATGTAATATAATCTACATACGTTAGACAAGACACAAGCTATATGCATCGACAACATTCTTCTTTTTACTTTTTTACTCAATTTGACGGCTTAACTTTGTGAACCATGTTTTCAGCAGAACAGTGCCTGTATACTAAATAGTTATAAACTATTTTACAAATGTTTTCTATGCTTTAAGACATTCCGGTAGGTTAATATATCATATTAGAGCAAACGTTTATAGGTAATTTATAGCACGTTTCTACTGAATTAATTTCCGTTATCATTGTTGCCCCGATTATCTTAATATATTGTTTCGATTTTACACATTTTGAGAGACACTACTCGATAGTGTGAAACTTTAAACAATAAATGCATAACCGCATACAATCACGCGAGCACTCACTGATGTGTTATGTTTTTAATATCACACACATTTTATATCCGATGAAAAATATCATTTTTACTGTTTATTAATGTTTAATCTCTTTGAAAGACACTACTTGATATTGTGATACTTTGTAAAAGAATTGGTTGAAAAAAAGTTGGGACAATTTTAGTGCTAGTAAGCGTGAGATAATGCAGGTATAGATAAACGGAGAACAATAAATGCATAACCGCATACCATCACGCGAGCACTCACTGTTGTTTTATGTTTTTAATAGATGCTTCACGGGGCAACATGCTTACATATGTGGCTACAATTGTAATTGATAATCAATTAAAGTATCAAATGACATGGTACTCGCACGGGAAAAGTATGTTGGTTTTATGTAGACGAAAAAAGAGGACTTAACTGCGTATTTTCAGAACCAGAGTTCTATTTGTATGCAAGAATAGCGCTTTCATTCGTGACAACAACTGCAAAAACCATCAAACTTTAAATACCAGCCCAGCAAGCTTGCGCTTTGAAAGCATTTATGTGTCCAATATTTACGAAATGAAGATTGGGTAATTATTTTATACTTATAACTAAAATATTGATGAAATAAAATGAGCGTTTTTTTGTTTTCCTTATTTTAACAATGAAAAACGATATTGCAGTGAATCATATGATTCGTATTTTCACTGGTGTCTTGCCGTTCTTTTTTCTTCTGAATCCAGCCGATACACATACTTAAATGGTAAGTCTTTTGGATCGAAATGTCAACAAAAAGTATGTTATAAATATAGTATAGCAAAAAAGCAATTTTATCTCTTTATAAAAAAACAACAACAACAAATGATGCTTTCTGCTATTCAGCTACTAATGGGACTAGCGTATACGAACGGTATACACACGGTAAAATAAAGAACTTATTTGAATTGGATTAAAATACTTAAGTAATTTGAAAACTGGTTTTGCAAAAGTTGAAACATGTTGTTGCATGTTTAAAGTCATTGATTTAAGAAATGGTACATTCAATATAATAAGGTTAAGATTGAATAATATTTAATGTCACACTGCTCTGACATATCAGAAATAGCATATCATGCCGTATTGGTTATTTCTACTTTGAACGTTTGACGGCATTATTTATGTTAAAAAATACAAAAATCTTCTGTTTAACTCTTATAAAGCAAATCATTAGAAACGAACAACGCTAAAATAGTTAATACTTACAAATTAACTGTACACTTGATTCGATCGCCGACTTTCCATGCATCTCCAATTTTTTCACCGGATTTTCTTCCTTCAAATACCCTTAAAATAAATTATAGATGACATATTTAAGCAAACGAATATGGTATTTATAGTCCTCTAAATCAATTTTGTAGAATGAGAATACAGCTATGTCAGAAATAAACCCCTTAACTCTAAGCAATGCTTTATAGGAGGAAAGTACACAGATTTTGTCCATAATATTTTACATTGTTACTGAATTATAAGTTATTAGTTCACTGTTATATTATTTGTCTATTAAGCTCATTATTGTGTGTGTAAAAAAGAGAATTTTCAAGTAAAAGAAACAAATATCGCTATAGTGAATAAATTGTGAGGAACAACAGTAAGATTATGTTAATACTTTTAAAATGATTGACACATTATTTTCAAGTAACAGTTGTATGTATTTGAGAATACTAAACAATTATGTAATAACTATGTTATTCGGTCTTGTTCAATTACATACACATTTGATTGGGATAAAAATTCTATTCATTTCAGATGCTGTGTTTATTTTTATCATTACAGACGCCGTAATATTATTACATGGTTTTGATAAATACACCAGTTTGACACGATAGGCATGCTGTGACCTTAACTTATATATCTAAAGAAAATACACCCTTAATGAAGACATGAACAACGTACGACCACAACTGAATATGCAACAAACATACACAATACAAGGCCTGGTATAATATAATCTAACACGTGAACATTTTTACCATCTTTAAAAGTGGATAGTGAAATAAAACGTTTCGTGCATGTAATATTTATCCTTAATCATATTACAGAAATTCCATCGAGGTCTTACATAGATCAGCTTGGACACTCAATACAGAAATATATGCAAAACAATTAAGATAAATTCTCAGAAATAAATTGAAACTCGTATTTTTTAGGTATTTAAAGCCCAATTTAAGTGAGAGAGTTGCAACGCTTTTCAGTCGTGGGGCATTTTGAACAATTTGCAAGTTTGCAAACAACTTACTTGTGTAAACCTACATAAAACTATTATCGAACATTCCAATCATGTCAAACAATTTTAGTGCAGATCCTTTAATATTACTTATCATCGTAAAGCTTCTGTTTATAATATTGCATAAACATAGTTACTTTTATATTGGTAGATTTAGCAGCTACACGATTGAATCCCTTAATCATTTGAATTTTGTTGTAATTAAACATAAACAAATAACATGTATGTAATTCATACTTTACAGTGTAGCATTTATATGGTACGAGGGCTATTCAATATACATGTATAATGAGATGTCCTTATATATTTTCATTCTAACATAAAATATAATAATATGTGGTAAGATTATTTAATATGTAATTTGTTCTTGATAAGATTATCGACATTGGTAGAACATATATAACACGACATAGAATTTATGATCATTTCAATAACCATAGTAACACATTATCGCCCCGTCCGTTCTGTCTATTATAATTTCAAGTAAAGTAAGAAACAATTTTTGCAATAACGTAAAACTCCGCCAATTGTTTGTACTTTATATCAGTGATGTCATGTGAAAAATGGCATTATTTTGTAGTACAACGTTGTTGCGATCAACATTTGTTCACAGTTAGCCTGACCCGTTGTCAAGGTAACATTATGACACAATAACCTCTTGAAATGTGGGCGAATTGACCACTGAAAGATTTAAAATGTTGCAAAAGGCTAAGAGAAAGACATTGTTTGTTTAGGTGGCACATAAACTTTTATGGGGGACACATATCCCTGAATGACAGACATATGTCCGGCAGGAGAAAATCCGGCGTATCGGCGTTTTGGATCAAAACAAAAGTAAAATGAAATACAAGAATTTGTTAATTTAGTTTTAAAACATTTATAATTCCTGCTTCAATTTTTATCAGTAAATAAGAAATGCAATAAGGTTATAAAATAAAACAAAACAGTATCACCTATCTGTCTTAATATAATGTATCGTTTTACGTATTTTTCTCTATGGTAGGTACATGCTTGTAGGACCCCACCCCCGTCTTCTTGAATACTATGGGTTAGAGAGACGCGTCCAAGAAGTTTATCTGGCGAATAAGGGTGGAGAGTGACGACTTCCTCCGAAATGTAATAACGATGGACAAGACGTGGCTTCACCTACATGACCTAGAGACACACACCCAGTCTACCGTCTGGAAGTGCTCTGGCGTTCGGGGGATATTTTGAAAAGCTATGTATGTGATAAGACATCATAGCGACGTTAACTGCGCGAATGACGTCGCTGACGCCGCAACATATTGTTGTGTGGGGGTGATAGAACAAACATGACTTTCTTATAAATTCTGAACTTTAAAACTGTTTTATGGATTACTTTAATATTTTCAGATTTTATTAAGAAATGAATGAACTTTGTAAGTATGTATTGCATATAACCGTTGAATGAATCATATAAAAGATATGAACACAGTCTCATTATATATTGAACAACCGTCGTTCATTAAACATAATTTACTGAGATATTTGTGTAAAACAAAATCCTTTTTTTAAAACGTTGTTTAACAGAAAATCGCTTCATTATCTTTCAGCAAAATATAAAATCAAGATCATATTTATATTTGATAATAGACGTAGACATATGAATCGCTCTAATAATTCTTTATAATAATCGAGATAACAGTTCTTTTACCAAACGTTACTGTTATGTTTAGTAAGAGTTTTAATAACTCATTTCTTAGTTCTATGTCAGTTTTATAATTTGCCATCAATTTATGAACATTAATCTCTTTGGAGATTGTGCTATTAGACAGATGTTTCAGATAATGAAAGTGCTGTTTTATAAATCAATTCACTTCATAAAACATGTTGTAGATGTCTGTTATTCACGCCATTGGATTTATCGAATGATTATTTCTGATATCGTGTAAATTCTAGTTTTCGTTGAAATTAAGAAAAAAAGGGGGCATCTGACTACGATTCATGTTACGTATCGTAAGATTTAGCCCTTTATGTTTTCAAGAAGAAGATTTTTTGAGTATTTCCTATATAATAAAAACAATCATGACCACTGGGGCCAATTTTGCCTAAGGGTATTATTTGAATAAACTTAAACTTAAATAAGGAAGAAAAATGCATATCAATTTAATAGAGAAACAAAAGCTTGCAATTAGTCTTCAACTCTGTTGGGTTAATTTGTTTAGATTGTTGAATGCATTTCTGCTCACAGTTGGACTAGTATAGAGCTATACAAACGTATATTGGGTCAAATAAAGATTTTGCACTAGTTATTCTGAAGAAAAGTATACAACTGAACAATTATATAGTCTTTTTTTAACAGTATAACACATATAAAGGATATATTTTGAAAGAATGGTAAACATTGATAGTGAAACTTTACATATTATTTTTAATGTACAGATTGTGTACACTGATTGAACTTGTTGATATGGGAGGGGTCAATAGTTAGGTTAATGTTTGGATCTACAAAAAGACATGATAAAACTCTTCGTATTTATAAATGCAATATAATGACTGACATTAATATAACAATATGTGTTTGATGTAATTTCACTATTTCGAACGTTGGCAATACTTAAGTTAAAAAATAATTTACTAATTCTACTCATATCTAAGCAGTTAAACTATTCAGATTGCAACTGAGTTTCATGTGTTTTTTGCGAAAAATATATTCTATTCTTACTTACAACAAACAATAAATAATGCGAAGTTCCTGTTTGTATATATTTGTTTTTTATTGATTTCGTGTTGTTGTAGTGTGCAAACAAGTACTACCTCACTTTCTTTGTAAATATTCTATCACGTAACTATAGTTTTTATTCATCTGTATCGGAGCTTCATTCAAACGTCTAAAACAGGTAAATATTTAAATGTGTCATCATTGTAAATAAAATATAGTCTTTACAACGATTAGAACGTTATAATAATTTAAAAGTTATCAAACTTTACATTTTTATATACGATTTTTCAAAGATGTGTACGTATCATTATTTAAATGGTGTCCAACTAGAACATTTGTATATAGATTTTACAAGGACCTTTACAAAATTATCATTTAAAATTGATCTAAGAAGAAAACTTGTATATAGTCTTTACATGGATGTGTACGTTATCACTAAATATAATCTACCAAGCTAGAAATACATTTTTATTATAGTTATGATTTTGAAGATAATGAATATCCTTTAATCATAGTGTAAACGAGGGATGATCCAGAATGGCCTAAACTTTTGAATTACACATAGGTAGTTTTGAAAACCATATATTAAAAAATGGAACATACAATTGATAAGATATGACATAACTATAATATATTTAGTATAAAGTGCAAGCGTGCCATGCGATTCTATAATCATAGTAATATATATGCGGCGCACGCAGATTTTGCGACAGTTTTTAAGTTAAACAAATCCTAAATAAAAATAAAATAAACATGACGAATGTAAATATCATCTAATTCAGTTCGATGATGCTATTATATCAAAAAGTGAATGTAATCTGAATGTTGCATTTTTATATCAATAGTGTTCAAACAGGGAGAAGTGCAGAATAGCATTATTCTGTGTACGACAGACAGAATATAACAGAAATGTCGTAAAGTTAGGTAATTTTGATATATTATTTAACTTATGTCTCCAATCTTCAATAACAAACTATTTTATTAATACAGTAAATCTGCTTATAGAGTGTACAGTGTGCCGAAAACATTATTTTTTTTTGTAAATGGGATTTGAAATTTCTTAAAACGCTTTAGAAAAAGAAGGGTTCACACCACTATCTTTTATCTATAAAATTAATGTTGTGCAAGCAATATATATAAATTAATCCGTATTATCCTGACATTGCTGGGGTTTATTTTGCCATAAATGTATCCATGAATAATACCATAGATAATACGGTTCTGACACTTTTATGAGCTATGTGAAGTAATAGTAAAAATGTCGCATTGTATGACCAGCAATGGTTTACAGACTTTTTCCCACTCCATATTCATTGCAATGAAAATAAGTCAAATTAATTTGAATAAAAACATGAACAGATAGTAGTCTGGTTCACATGTCGCTGTTTCGTAAACGGCGACTTAAACAACTATACAAGAGACGTTATGAAATGAGCTACGACGTTCGCTGGGTATACCACATTGACTATTTTGTTTTGTATGTAGTTTTTCAATGACTTGTTATTTTGTCTAATATTTTGTAAGAAATTGCTCAACGTAATTAAATACATGATGACATTATATCAATGAACTATATATCATCCACAGAACACGCCTGCATTTTTAGAGATCATCCCTCGTATGATATGACAACGTTGATCTAGTCTGACTTTAATTCACAATAAACCAGTTTATGTCAGGACATGAAAAGAAGTAACCTTTACTATGCCTATACGTTAACAGTAAGTTAACTATTGTTTGCACATTTATTAAAACCGTAACTGTGTTTATCTCATTAAGATGTGTGTTCATGTATATACTCAATTTAAAACAAATAATATATCGGAAGGTACTACATGAAAGAAAATATTTCAAAATTATGTATTTGATGCAGATGAAAAATATATTGTTTCAACAAATTAAATTATTTAATTATTCTGCATTCGAAGAATATTCGGATATACAAGATAAGACGTTTATGAATTTGTTGAATATATTTCTACCTTACTTAATAACAGAGACTTAGTTGAACATTCACAACATACGTTAGAAATAAAATGTGGTTGTAACGATTTTGGAAACACAAACTGTCCGTTTACTAAACGCTTTGCAAATTATTCGTTCGTTTAATAATCCGGAGGGTAAAGGAACAGGATATTCATAGAACATATTTGTAATTCATTGTCGTCAATTATTAAATAATTGAAAAAACGCACTACTTTAGATCATAGTAAATGATTTGAGTTTATTATAAAATTGACATATGATGAATGATTATTAACTACTAGCATTCATTGCACATGTTTGAGACAAATTAGCGAATGACAGAGAAGCATAGTTCACATGGTGTATTTTACACGTAGAGAAAGCCAGTGTATGGAACTAGGAAATATCTAGTGTGATAGATTTGCCTGAGTCTGCTAACCTGACACAAACAAACATGACAAACTATTATTTACCATCTGGTCATGAACCAACCAGCAGATGAATAACTAGAGTTTGACTGTAATTTAATGAAATTTCAATAAATGAAAAGGCATTGTCGTTTTCATTTATTTAACCAAGAGGAACTAAATATTATACAAAATATAAGGTAACAAACTATAACAATTTTAATAATTATAACAAACCTTAGCAAAGATTGAAATATTTTAATATTTCTATATTTTTTTTAAATTTTTCTTGCTGATTTGAAGGTTCAGCATGTCCTGAAAAACATTTCGGCATGTGATATGATGTCGCTACGATGGCACAAAGGTGACATGTGTGTGTTTTTACTTATCTCGTGGTCACGAGTTACTAAGTCGTGGCCACGAGTTACTAAGTCGTGGCAACGAGATAGCTAAGTTGTGGCCACGAGATACTATGTCGTGGCCACGAGATACTATGTCGTGGCCACGAGTTAGCTAAGTCGTGGCCACGAGATAGCTAACTGAAGACCAAGAGATACTATAACAGTGCCACGTGTTACTAAGTCGTGGCTACGACATAGCTAACTCGTGGCCACGAGATACTATGTCGTAACCACGAGTTACTAAGTCGTGGCCAGGAGATAGCTAACTCGTGGCCACGAGATACTATGTCGTGGCCACGAGTTACTAAGTCGTGGCCACGAGTTACTAAGTCGTGGCAACGAGTCACTTAGACGTGGCCACGAGCTACTTAGACGTTGCCTCGAGATACTATGTCGTGGCCACAAGTTACTAAGTCGTGGCCACGAGATAGCTAACTCGTGGCCACGAGATACAATGTTGTGGCCACGAGCTACTTAGACGTTGCCTCGAGATACTATGTCGTGGCCACAAGTTACTAAGTCGTGGCCACGAGATAGCTAACTTGTGGCCACGAGATACAATGTTGTGGCCATGAGTAACTATGTCGTGGCCACAAGTTACTAAGTCGTGGCCACGAGATAGCTAACTGAAGACCAAGATATACTATGTCGTTGCCACGTGTTACTAAGTCGTGGCCAGGAGATAGCTAATTCGTGGCCACGAGATACTATGTCGTGGCCACGAGTTACTAAGTCGTGGCCACGAGTTACTAAGTCGTGGCAACGAGTCACTTAGTCGTGGCCACGAGCTACTTAGACGTGGCCTCGAGATACTATGTCGTGGCAACAAGTTACTAAGTCGTGGCCACGAGATAGCTAACTCGTGGCCACGAGATACAATGCTGTGGCCACGAGTAACTATGTCGTGGCCACAAGTTACTAAGTCATGGCCACGAGATAGCTAAGTCGTGGCCAAGATAAATAACTAAATGTCCATAATTTTTCATTTAGCGTCACTGTGACCCTGAGTTTTGACCCAATGACCTCTAAATTATTAGATGTCATCTACTGAACAGGTGCAATGATCTTTCTTGGTTATTAACCATGGCTTATCTTTCAAAATTATCAGACAAGGGTTTTGCCTTATAGGCTATCTACTGTCCATGGCCAATATCCCTTACAAATAAAATAAACCAGGACATATTCCTTCTCATGTTATCCTATAAACAAGGTTTACAGGCCGTGGTACGTACAAACAGACAAATTCAATCACAAAACTGTCCCCAACAAAGAGCTAAAGTCCAAATTAATGTCTGATGGGCCTTGGAAGGTGACTTTCTAATATGATCCTAAAGACAAGTTCATAGTATCTCGTGGCCATGAGAAAGCTAACTCGTGGCCACGACTTAGTAACTCGTGGCCACGACATAGTATCTCGTGGCCACGAGTTAGCTATCTCCTGGCCACGACTAAGTAACTCGTAGCCACGACATAGTATCTCGTGGCCATGAGTTATCTATCTCGTAGCCACGACTTAGTAACTCGTGGCCACGACATAGTATCTCGTGGCCACGGGTTAGCTATGTCGTGGCCACGACTTAGTTACTCGTGGCCACGACATAGTATCTCGTGGCCACGAATTAGCTATGTCGTGGCCACGACTTAGTAACTCGTGGCTACGACAAAGTATCTCGTGGCCACGAGATAAATAAAAACACCCACATGTCACCTTTATGTCACGGTATATTGCTGATTGAGTTGGAATTTCTATTTGGTTTAAGACTTTGAAACAAACATCTAAATTATATGTTCGAACTATGTTTAATTATAATGTCTAAATGATTATTAAAATAGTTCATTAACACTGTAACTATAATCCATTTTTAGCATGAACTGATATTTTATGTATCGACAGATCTTCACTTAATATATTTTGTTAATAAAATATTTGATGAAGATGATAAAATATATTGTTTCAGCATTTCGTCATATACTAATACTAATTTCCATTTGAATAACATAATTTGCATACATTAGTTTATTGTCTGTACTCTAGAAATACAGCATTTATATTGTAACCGTACTCAAACATTTATTATAAGATGAACACAATTTAACATTTAAAACAAACATCTGATATTATAAATTGTTAAAAGTCATGTCGAATGTATAAAAGTTGATGACATGATTTGCAAAATTTCCACAATACAATGTTTATAAAAAAAATAAATCAGACGAAAATAATAATATGATCGAGCGATATTATTCACTGAATTTACCATATTCCAGTAGATAAAGATAGATTAAACAAACTCGTCGTCGATCGTAAAAATCAAAATCATCGTGGATGTAGTTAAGATGAAACAAAATCGTAAGAAAGAACAATATATTCATTTATTGTTCGGAACTTGGATGCATCTCGTGTGAAACATTAACAAGAACCGGGTGATGTTCCCCGAATAGGTTTTAGACACAGGAAGGTATACTTCTTTTAGTGTCAGAGTAACGTCACAGACAAAGTTCAAAGTGAAAAAAAAATGATGCGCGCGACATGTCGTCTCAATATGGTTATCATTTCTTTTAAATTGTTGTAAAATCCGTCTTCAAATAACAAAGTTATGGACCGGACATACGTTTGTTGCAAGATCATGCTGTGACCTTCACCTTCAAGGTAGCGACCCAAATGTTGCGCGCGACACAAAATCTCTATCTGGTGATCATTTCTGTGAAATAATTGTAAAATCCGATTTCAAATAACTAAAATATTGGCCGGACACGATTTTACTGCAAAGTCACGCTGTGACCTCGACCTTTAAGAAAGCGACCCAAATTTAAGGCCCTGTCACACTAGACGCCGTTTGAGTTTGCACAGCATTGTTAAATATAACAACGCGCCGCGAGATCCCAAGAAAAGTCTGATATTTTTGATTTCACGGAGAATTCACGGCGTCTTAACGGCGTCATTATGGCGATCATGGTGTTGCTACAGAGCTTCCTCGGCGTTGTAGTTCGTTCTGACGGAGCTTTAATTGGAGATTGTCAGCGTTCTGACTGCGCTTCTGTTATAAAGACGCCCCACAACCTCCGTGGCTGACAAATAAAAACGGCGCAAGTTATAAAACAAGACCTTTTCTTGATCTTGTTTTGAGGATTTGGAAACAGCTTGGGTCTAGCGATAACTTCCTGAATAGCTTAGCTTATTTATTTAATTTTCTATTCCGTTTAATCGTTTAGATATTTTATATCGAAAGTAAAATTATATTTTAACAATGAAGCAATAAACACATACTTGCCGTCTGAATGGTATCCATAGGAATCATATCCTAATCCAGGTAGACGATTATTTGGATAGTCATCCGGTACCACACCGATAGCTAGAATAAAATTATATTATATTGATAAGTATTAAACTTTGAATTAGAACAACATAAATAAATAAATGAAATGATAAATAAAAAACAATAAATAAATAAAAAATTATTAATTTTACACTTGTACATAATGAATAAATAAATATATTAATTAATTAATCAATAAATTCATAGCAATTCTCTTGTAATTTTGTTGTGATTAATGCTTCCGATGGATCACTTTGCCTCCAGATATGTATATTCTCCAAAATTTGCTTGTTATGTATTGATGGCAGATTATAAATTAATTTTCAGAAAGTATTTACAGATGAAAATGAATATTTAACTTAATACTCCTTCATATATTTACTATTATAGTTACATATTTTAAAATAACATTCATTTGTGTTTGGTTCTTGACGATAAGGTATCACTGGATTTTATCATAAACATGATATGCTCAAAAGTCTATCTGAAGGTAATGAGAATTTTGACGACTTTTCTTTAATTCCTTAAGCAGTATCATGATACACATACTAATTATGGCTAAACACTTGACTCAAGTTACAAATGATCGAACGTTATAGTTTGCAAACTGTTACCTATACCTCCGTTTCTACCAATGCTCACAATCTCGATTTCAAAACTGTCACCAGTAGAAAGTGTTTGTTTGTCAATTAATAAACCAAAGTCGCCTTTTGCTGTTTTAGCACAACTGTAAAAGAAAATAAATCAATCGGATTTATCAAAGCAGGTAAGTATTTCCTTCAATTAAACAAAGTTTTTTAAAACATTTATATTTTGAAATAATTGCATATAAATTACAAATATTAAGTTACTTTGAAATTAGATATTTTATGTCACCTGATTAAGTCTCCGTCAATGATGAGGTTTTTGCAAACAAGTTGTCTATCCAGGAATGACTGAAAACAAAATATAACGCAAAATTAATAATTATTTATTATATCATTAAAAATATTACAATATATTTTGAGTTCGTGATGATTGGCTCAGTCGTTTGGAAAGAATACAAATGAAAGTTTCAACACACTCAAATAATATAGGGTACTCACTTGATTTGTTTGTGAACATTGATCCTTTGTCACTTGATTTGTTTGTGAACATTGATCCTTTGTCATCGGTGTTGCTCTGTTTGATTTTACTGTTTTTTCTTTAAGTCCTGATTTATGAAATAAAAAGAGAAGCAAAATGAATACAGTAGTTTACAAAATAATAAGAACGTGTATTAACACTCGGTATAAGAAGCTACTGTATAAAATTCATTGCATTAAAATAATTCCTTTATATAAACCATAAATGAATAAAACAAATGAAACTACTGAAGACATGTTTTATATTAGGCGTTTCATTGATATGACACACATTATAAGTATAAAATGGTTATCTTAGTTTAACATGTATTATCAAAAATACTACGAAAGTTAGAAACTTACCTGCACCAGATTCGTTTGGCTTATGTAACACTCCTAGTTGTTTACAAGTTTTCATCAACTTTTCGAGATTACAGTCAGGCATGAAGTCGTTCGTTTCGATCGTATTGTTCGCTTTTATTCTTTCTAGCTGGTCTCGGACGAGATGGAGATTTTGTCTGTATGACAAGGAACTGAGGAACAATTTGTAAGGCTGATCCGCTTCTGATTGCAATGTTTCTTTCATATCATTTGTTTCATCAACTAGGCCTTTGTTTTGTTTTTCCAAGTTTTCGATCTTTTCCACGTCTGCTGCCATGATATCATCTCCATATTTTAGCATTGCATCAGAAAGTTTCGTGAAATGTGCAATCAGTTCATCCCTGAATGAGTTGACCTCAAAAGCAAATTTTTTGTTGACATCTTTTACATGGTCCTTGTTGCTTCTGATGCGTCCTAACATAGCTTTTGCTTCACCGTCATACTTCTCTATGTCCTTCTTCAACTTTTTGAACTCTTTACTGTCTTTATATCCATCGATGTGTTCTAGTATATACTTCACTTTACAGGTTTTATGGGAAATTACCATACAATCGCCACAACCTACTTGGTCATGTTCGGGACAGAAAAACTTAATTTCTTCGTTGAGATGTTTAGTACAATTATCGAAAGTTGGTGTTTCTTTGCATTTTGATTTAGCCTCGACTGATTGGACAAGTATATGTCCCCGGTTAAGCTTGAATTGTTTGTGAGTATCAAAACATCTTTGGCACATTTCTTCTGCACATTGTGAACAGAAACCATCCGAGAATGTTGACGTCTTAAGTTGCTCACAGGGTTTGCAATAATTACGAAGTTTCTTGCCAGATACCTCCATTTTTCAGTCGTTGAATTATCTGAAATAGAGTTGCAACAACACAAATCTAATTTCATTTATTTAAACGACACTTGTTATGCTGTTCTTGTAACAGGAAACACTTCAAGTGATACTTTCTTTAAACAATTAAACAATTATTACATTTAATCGTATGCTAGTATTGTATTTCCACGACAATCTGTTGCCAATTATTCTCTAAATACAAAGTAACATGTTGAAATAAATAATTTGAAGTTAACACTTATATGTTAATAGGAAAAAAGGAAGATATCATATCACAGGAATACCATTGTTTTATGAAACAGAAACTCCAATTAAGAGAATATAATCAAAAAATCACTTGTTCTGTGTAGTGGATGTGTGAGTAAGAAGTTATGGAATTCCCTTCCTGATTTTTATAAATTTATGAAAGAAAAAATAAACCGAAACAGTTATGCCTTGTTTTATTATTAAACTCTTTTATTAAAAATGCAATTTAGATTAAAGGTAGCTCAGGGTATGTGACATCTTAAGATGTTGAAAGAAGCTGGAAATGCATAATAATCAGGTAAATATTGAATAACATTTGAATTAAATTTGATTGATTTTGACTTAAGTGACTTATTTTAGTAAAAATAAAACTGCAGCAATTCTCTTCTGTTAAATTATAGCACATTTAAACAAGACAACTAAATATTCTCAATTTACACTTCCGCACATATTTTTTTGCGTAAAAAAAACAAACGTTTATGATAATGTCCGCAGTTCAAGATCATATCAAATTACCCTCGTATTTGCCAATTATTTATGATTTATGATTCGTGGATAAAATTGGATTGCGACGTCTGACTGTCTTTGACCACTTTTTGGCATTGTAAATCTCGGTTGCAATGATGATTCTTGAATGCGTTCAAAATTTGATATCTCGTTTTTTTTTTCAAGCAAACCGTTGGTATGTTTGTGCACATTCACTACGTGAGAGTGTATTGAAAACCTTGCGCCCTCCCCCAGTCCTGATTCTTTTCGTGCGGTCTCATTTATTAGAGAAAGTTGCGTATCAAAATGTAAAATCTATAATATTGAAGAAAGATATAACGAAAACAAGGCCGTTTGACACATTCATACATTCCAGATATCCCTGTGTTCTCGGAAGGTTAACAAGTTAGATTCTATATTGGACATAACTTTAAAATACATTTAACGTAGCCTTATTCAATACAAAAAAAACATAACATAATGCTGCTGTAGTCCAAATTAAAACTTACTTCAGTATTTACCTAGTTTGGTATAATACATTCAATTTTATCATATTGGATCAAGAATAACTGTACTGGAAAACTGTGCATCAGTCGGTAAAAACGTAAGACAAAAACTATCCAAAAATCTATAATCACGTTGAAAGTTGTCTTACCTGTCACGTTAAAATATTAAAAGCTGCAGTATACCGTTAACAAATAACTGTACATCCATTCACCGCACAAATAATAGTGAACTAATATACATTCAGCATTTAAAGCATTTCTTAAGTTAAACTTCCGTTAACATTATTTCAATATCAAGTGGTATATACATTTTACCCGGTTTGGAAGAGTAAACATTACATGGACAGATGGTTTTCTTCCGGGTTCATTAACGTTGGAAAATGTATTATTGTAAAATATGTGTATGCTATAGAACACACCTAATTTATTAGACAAAGACAAAGTAGGTTTATCGCATTAATGAATAAAGTTAAGTTGTCGGAGTTTTGTTGTCATAAGGTATGTTAGTAATCAAACTTTCAAAATAATTTCTTACATGCACGTAAGTATGACAGGACACTTTAATGATATACAACAACGTGTAAATGCCCCTGATGGTGACTTTTACAAATAAGCAAATACTAGTGTGACTGCTTGATAAGTATCTTTTTTGTTAAATCCATTCCGACATGTATGCGCATAATAAGTCCCCAATTAATATTTTGAAGCCTCGGCCTAGATTCCTTTGGACTTGATTTACTAGATTACAATAAGAAAAACTAACTGAACAATCTCATAAGCTGGAACTATTAAAGCAGATGAAAACAGAACTTTTTAATTATTTAGATAAAGAAATGTTCTGTTTATTTCTCTGCTGTTAATAATTTACAAAATTGTCAATAAAAAATAGAATATCAATATTCCAAATGTTAGATAGACTAAGTACACATATATTTACTTTATACAGAAATATTTTTCACTTAGTTACATTGATGAATAAATAAATATGCTATTTAGTTCATGTGTACATTTATGTAATAATTGTGCATGTTTTAAGTTATGTGCACAACTTGATGTACACCTGAAACACTTGTGTCATTTTGAACAATCTTAAGGCATTGTCAAGAAATTAAATACGTCGCAAAACAGTCAGGTTGCCCAAAAAGTCTGATTTGCGCAAGTGGGTCTTAATCAATCTAATTTTGCAGATGGGTATATAAACTCGAATGTTACCTCTTTTTGAGTTTATTGGAGTTGAAGAGATGAGTTGAATTGTTCTACGCAGTGCTCCATGTGCTCGTAGACTGTTGCTAGAATATAATTATAATACATTGTTTGCAGGTAATATTTTTTGTTGCTGGGTCGTATTTGGTTGCGTTTATTGAATACCGCCTTCCCTTGTTGATCTTGTCTTTCATTTTTACTTCTTACTCAATATACCAGCATACAGAACTAATAGATATATAAGTATTTCTTGTTTCTTCTAAAAGAAAGTAGTGGAAATGAATTATATAACAGATAAAATATCAGATTATGGGTTTATATTGGAGAGGAATAATTTAATTATCTTTATTTTAGTATTCATTTCGAATTGTTTCCATGATATCAAACTATCCTAAAATGCAGTGGTTTATGTGACTTCTAACATTCCAAGGGTTAAAATAATAAGCACATAAACGGAGATGGTTGTCAAGTCTCGCAAGGCTGTAGTGTACTTAGATTGCATTTACGACGTGAATAGAATACATTGAAACCATGGTGGCTGATTTGTGTCATTCGTGTTTTCGCTCCGCAACCCCGCCAATGAAACCTGGAGAATTAACATGTTAAAATGACTGGGGCACAGAACGAAAACGCGCGTATTACCGAGGGCGGGGGCAAAGTTTAATAAATATATAGCTTCGCATCTCGGATCGCGAAGCGAGTTTTGTGCTAAATCGAAAATTTGCAATTTTAAGTCGCGGTGGCACGGAGCAAAAACACGCCGTTTTACTTATTAAATCTCGCCATTTTATTTCTTAAACCTCCCTCCGCCCCCGATGGGCAGAGTTTAATGTATTTGACTTCACCCCGCGCCCGTTAAGTAGCGTGTTTTCGCATCGCGCCCCCGCCATTTCATCTTGTCAATTCTCGATTGTTTTCGCTTGGCAGGGTCGAGGGGCGATAACACGAATGACACAAATAAGCCACCACAGAAATTCACTTACACTAACAAAATTAATATATTTCTCAGTGTAGAAAGTTAGAAAATTTGAAATTGTCAACATTTTTTTCGTGTGTTTTTGGATGCTTAAGACAAACACTTAAATTTCAAAGTGTGAAACATGCCTTAATGTTATATGACAAACCAAATGTTGGTCTTGGTTTAACGTTATCAGATAAATCGGGACGGACAAAATAAATTTTGAAGCTAGAATATAATTTGAACAATGAACAAATAAAAATGTCATGTTTCAATGTACTAAGTATTTGCTTGAACAGTCATTTAACTTGTTTGCGGCGGTAAAAGTAGAATTTGATATATAAATTATATTAACATAAAAATGAAAGAATGTTTGTTTAATTAATCTTGCTAACTTAAAAGCATTTTTTTAAAGAAAAAGCAGTGCAAAGTAAATTTGGTATAAGTATGTTCTCACTGAATTGTCGAGCTTACAGAACTTCGATGGTTCTAAATAGGTAGCCCTTCGTGCCTGAAATAATGCACGTAAGGGCACCTGAGGTCTTCCTCCACCAGTAAAGCTATATGACCTTTGTTACGTCGAAGTGAGCCACCAGTAAAGCTATATTACCTTTATTACGTCGAAGTGACGTAAAACCCAATCAAACAACAAACACTGAAATATCTACTTACACTCGTCAACATTGTATCAATTTTATCAAGCGGAGCTTAATCGTTGCCTCGTAGTTTGTCCGATAGTTATCCGCAGCTTGTTTTTATTTTATTTTTTATTTTTTTGAAGTGATATATCGACCCAATGTTCTTATCAAAATGCATGAACAATAGTTTTATCTTAGTCTTTTTTCCCTGGACATTTTTAAACAAAAAGCAACGGAAGAACTGTAAAAAAAGCCCGGTTAATGTTGAGTACAAAAAAAGGAAAAGAAAACAAGAAAAAGATAAGCGTTTATTGAAATAAGGGCTGTATTTCTGGATACCATGGTACGCATTTGGATAAAATTATTACATAAAATAATTTATCGTTATTCAATCAAAAAGGAACATGGCGTCCTTGTGAACCAGTCAAGCCAAATAATCTCCATCGTGGACATAACAATTATAATATTACTTTAAAAGAATTCTCCAACGAGGGCATAACGTACAATTATAACATTATTTTAAATAATCTACAACACGAGGACATAACAATTATAATATTATTTTAAATAATCTCCGACGAGGACATTACACTTATAACATTATTTTTAATAACCTCCAACGCGGACATAACAATTATAACATTATTTTAGATAATCTCCAACGTGGACATAACAATTATAACATTATTTTAAATAATCTCCAACGCGGACATAACAAATATAACATTATTTTGAATAATCTCCAATGTGAAAATAACAATTATAACATAATTTTAAATAATCTCCAATGCGGACATAACAATTATAACATTATGTTAAATCATCTCCAACGTGGACATAACAATTATAACATTATTTTAAATAATCTCCAATGCGGACATAACAATTATAACATTATTTAAAATAATCTCCAATGCGGACATAAAAATTATAACATTATTTTAAAGGTACATTTCTATTTGTCATAAATGAATAGTTTTCTAACCATTGCTTTCATACTTTACAGAAAGACATTTTTCATGAAATATAATTCTTTAATAAACACATGAACAAATTTCGTTCATAATAAATTAATACAAAACATTATGGACACTTTCCTATAGTAACCATACACTTGGTTTATGCATGAATGACTAAAAGATGCACACAATGACTAAAAGATACGCATTTATATACTAATAGACTAGTGTTATTGTAACTGAAAAATGCAATGAAATTACCATATATGGTTGTTGACTAAAAATTGTAAAAGATAAACGTGTATTAACATTAAACGGCAAAGAAGGCAAACAAATCAGTATATGTCAAAATGTACTTAGTAAAAGTGGTGGAGATTCGTTCTTCGTCACTTGTGTACAGTTATTTTAAACGACAAGGACATTTTTTATATAAGTGACTGTGTCTCATTTCTATTATATAACATTCTGCAAAGAGAAAAGTGAAGATTAAAGTTATTTGTTATGAGTCACCATTCAGAAAAAGTGTATTCTACAATTCTATGTATGGCTGAATTTATAAATTATAAAGGTTGATATAATGTAACATCACAAAAAGATAACGTTATAATATTTTCAAATAATCATAGTACTAAGATGGTACTGTTTTCATTTCCAACGTATTCTTGCAATACTAAAAAAATATAAATTTATTTAAAAACTTGATTACAATACTGCATGAAAAATATTCAACACATTTAATAAATATATCCATTGCAACTTTATGCATGCAATTGGTAACGTGAAGCACATATCGCAGATTTATCGCTAAGAATTTGTTTTAAGTTCTATTTCGAACCAAAGACATTTAAAGATTAAACAATTAACACTATCTAAACGTATTAAATTAAAAGTTAAATAAAAATATATTCAAAAAGATAAGAATGTTAATCCATAGTTTGTGTTGTATATGCCGTCTGTCTCCCTATGCACTATGCATGATGTGAAATTTTAAGATATTTATAACCAGAAAGTGAAGTATGCCAATAAAATATACATCTAGAAAATTGAATAACAAATAAATGGTGACTGAAAGCTGAGAAAAAAGTGAAAAGATATTGCAGCATACCTATGAAATGTTGAATACTAAGATATTACAGTATACCTATGAAACGTTGAATACTACGGTTGCAGCATACCTATGAAATGTTGAATACTACGATATTGCAGCATGCGTATGAAATGTTGAATACTACGATACTGCAGCATACCTATGAAACGTTGAATACTACGATATTGCAGCATACCTATGAAACGTTGAATACTACGATATTGCAGCATACCTATGAAACGTTGAATACTACGATATTGCAGCATACCTATGAAACGTTGAATACTACGATATTGCAGCATACCTATGAAACGTTGAATACTACGATATTGCAGCATACCTATGAAACGTTGAATACTACGATATTGCAGCATACCTATGAAACGTTGAATACTACGATTATTGCAGCATGCGTATGAAATGTTGAATACTACGATATTGCAGCATATCTATGAAATGT